CCCCCCCCCCCCCACCCCGGGAGCTGCTCCACCTGCCGGCAGCTTGCCCTCCCTTCCCTGCCACCGGAGAGGCAGGTAAGTTCAGGCGTGTGCATGACACGGGGGTTTAAAGGGCCCGAAATTGAAGTGGTGTTTTTTAAAAACCCACTGCTTCAATTTAGGGCCCTCATTTTGTCTATACATGCCCTTTAGTCTTCAGGGCTGAGCACTGGACTGAGCTACAAAAGTAAAAAAATACACAGGATGTTCACTCTGGTGTGAGCCTGGTGGGAATGCCTAGTTAGTGTGAGTGAAGAATACATGTGTCAGGACATATGAGCTGAAGCATGAGCCACTGTCATGCACACAAGTGCTGAGCTACACACTTCATTTTTGGCCATGGGATTAGGCAAGAACTACCTGGCTGTGGCATGCCAGTGCCCGTGCTAAAACCAAATCACATCCATGCATTTACATAACATGAGAAACTCCCTCTACACATCTGTGCCCTGCAGGCCCAAGATGCCTGGCAGTGGATATGGTGAAAGCATTGCCTTTTTCAACAGCACTACCCTTTCCCACACCATCTCCCCATTTACCCTCTTTGCCTCAATTTACCTTTCTCTGAATCATTCAGATTAGCAAAATGTTACCGATGCTCAGTCTCGGTGAGATCAGAGACGTATACAACCTGCAAGAGAGCCCTCTTTGAGCCCTTGACTGCTGCACGGGGGGGCAGCGTGGCTACCTGGGAGGTTGTAGCATGTTCCCTCACAGAGGCCTTTGTGTTTCAGATGTAGCCTAGTTAACACCATGCATCCTTTTGCAAGATGGAGAAAGCAAATTGAAGGAAGGATGGATGGACGGACGGACGGACTGATGGATGGGCAGATGGATGGATCGACCGACAGACCAATGAACCGACAGACGGATGGATGGACTGAGCCACCAACCTTCTCCATCTTTTACTCAGATGAAGTTAGAGTTGGCAAAAAATGGCAAGGATCTATATTTCCAAAGGGGAAAATATTCTGTCTAAAAAATGGGAAATGTTGCAGCAATTTTTACTACTGTCTGCATCCATTATTGATGTGTGGCCAGCTCCCTCTTGTTCAGTGACAAGTAGAGGTCCAAGTTGAGAACAAGGGCCCATTGTGCTGTACATGTGCCTAGACAAGTCAGTCTGTGCCCCATAGGGCTTATATTTTAAACAGACCAGAGCTGGGGGGAGGAGAGGAAGAAGCTTTTTAATCTCCACTGGGCAGATGAATAAAAGCAAGAATAAACAATGTACCTAAAAATCATAAGTAAAGTGTCAGGGGTGGGAATTGAACCCACAATGAGTCTAGGGCCGGCAGATAAATGAAAATCCTCCATTGTCTCTATTGCACTGATTCTCAATTTGGTTGCTGTGGCCCCCTGGGGTGCCTTGAGATCCTTTCAAGGGTGTCACAGGGGTGCTACACAATATTAGCACTGTTAGCTATGCAAACATGATTCAGAATATAACCCCAGAGATTTCAAACAGGAATTCATAGTATTAAAACCCTCCTTCCCTGTTGTGGTTCTTCTTGAACATTTTGCAACAGAAGAATTGCTGCTGTTTTTTTATTTGGGCAAAAAATGAGTGAAAATTAAAAGCTGGCATTTTTCAAAGGGTGCCTTGGGTTTAAGAGGGGTGCCCAGAGTCTAAAAAAGGTTGACAATCACTGCTATATTGTATGAAGACAAAGGAACAGCAATGTATAAAATTTGGGATGGGGTACAGGTGGGAAAAGGTATAAAATCTGAGGCTGCATTGTGGAAAGGCATCAGCTGCATAGGAAGAAAGAAAAAATGTTACCCTTCTCCCAGAGATATACTTCTAATGGACATATTTTTAGCAATGCCTGCCTAACTCAGACTTCCCAGCCCCTTTCTTCTTTCCCCTTTCTCTCCCCCAAGGACCCAGCCAGGTATATCTATCTATCTATCTATCTATCTATCTATCTATCTATCTATCTACTGGAATTGGCAGAATCCTTACATACACGCATACATATACATATATATACATACATACATATACATACATACATATATATATATATATATATAACACAAGCTTTAATAAATCAAGCTGTTCACAAAAGCTTATGCTCATATATACATTTTATTTAGTTAATCTAAGATGCATATCTTCCTTGCCTTCTGCCTGACTTCAGACTCAAACAACTAACTGCTTCTCTCTTGTAAGAAGCACACAGCCACCCCCTCACTCATTACTTCTTTCTGTCCCTAAATAACTTGCATTTGTGTTTTGCCGGGAGAATCATTTATAATTGTTTGTTGCCTGGCCACAACTGCTATATTTACTAATCAATCTACATTCGTACTTGTTGATGCGTGTTTGTGCTCAGACTAATATTTTTACTAATATTGTGTTGCTGTTGTTCTTATTATTAATAATTATATTGTTATTGGAGTAAGATTACTCCCATTAGACATGAATGTAATTTCCAAACGAGAACCTATTAAGCTAAAAATACCAGCTTCATCAGTTTCTATAATTTATGGTGATGCCTATATAATGGCACAGAAACCTGATAGTTCATATAAAAGTACAGAGCCCATATTCCAGTATCTTGCAGAAGCATAACACCCCTCTTGCTGAATGTTACAAAAATGAGACAAAATAATGAATTAACCAGACCATTTTGGGGACAGGTTAGTACCTATATTTTGGACTGCTCTAGCTTCCTCTTAAAATACATGGAATTACAGCCTAGTTTGAACTGAAAGTATGGATTAAAATACTTTCAGTACTTATCCAAAAATACTTATGGATAAAATAGCTAGAGACACAAGTAAACAGACGTCAACATGATTTGATATCTGGCTTGAGTTCCTATTGTTTACCAGGCACCAGCTCCCGAGAACATTTCATGTAATACTATGAAAACTACCATCTGCATAATATAAAACAGTGGTTCTCAACCTGTGGCTTCATGGCCTTACCAGGAGCCACCACCCCTGCAGTTTTCACCCCCCTGTGGTGTAACACATAGATGTGACATATGTTTTGTTTTCAACAATTTGGGGTGCAGTTCCCCCCAAACTCCTGCACCGATCTTCTTAAAGCTTGGCAGGCATCATGCTCTCTGCAGAGTCTACCATCCCTGCAATTTTCATTGTATATAGATGTACAATGAAAATATCTATATAGATATTTTATTGTTTCCCCATTATACTCTATGGCCGGATCTGCGAGGTGGCTCCGAAGCTTTTCCGAAGCGCTTTGGAAGCTCCGAACCGCTTCGCAAAGCCTAAAAAAGCCAGCGCTTCGATCTGGACATGCTGCTTCAGACACTGAAGTGTTCGAAGCTTCTCCAGATATGAAGCAGGGTCCGAAGCCTCGCACAGCCTTACCGACAGGGAGGTGGAGGTGGTGGGCCAGGACGGAGGGAGGGGAGAAGGGTGGGGGGAGGCTAAGGAGGTCACTCCCAACAACAGCTGGCAGGGATGGGGAGGTGGCGGGCAGGGAGGGAGGGAGGCTGTGTGCGGGGTGGGGGGAGGCAAAGGGGGTGGTCATGGTGGTGTTTGGTGGAGGGGCTTGGTGGCAGGGAGGGAAGGAAGGGAGGGAAGGGGGGAGGGGAGGAGAGGGGTAGGGGGGGTCATGGCGGCAGTGCCTCGACCTCTGGCTGGCCCCGACAACAGCTGGCAGAGAGGAGGTGGTGGTGGTAGAGGGGAGAGTCTTTACATGGCCAACCCCAAACGGGTGAGCAGGGAGGCGAGGGGGAGGCCATGTAAACACCCCCTGAAATCCATCATTCTTGATGGGCAATTAGCTAGTTTTACAATAAAGACCAGACAGGTAGATAGGTAGACAGACTTTGATATTTTAGATCTTTGTTAAAAAAATTACAAACAAGAAGTACACGTTCATAAGTCCACAGCCCCACAAGCTGGGCATTAAAGCATTCGTCAGTCAAAACTACCATTGTAACTAGAGACTGAAGCCCCTTCCTCCAGCCCTGTTCCCCTAACATCCTTCACATGGCCACACTTTTAGGACAAGCCAGCCATCTTCCCTGTGCAGAGTGCACCATCCTTGGTCCAGTGCATTGCAAATTGGTCTGTGCTCTTTTGGTGGGTGAAATGCCCAAACTGAAAGTAGAGAGGTGCCTGGACCAGGACATGGAAGAGCTGTAGGGCATCATTAAACTCGCCCCTGGAAGCTGATTCCTGCAGCTCTTCAGGGTCACAATCTTGGCTTGACCCACCAGGAGACTGGCTGATCAGGCCATGCTTCCCTCAGCCACTTGGTACAGGACAGAGAAAATGTACATTGTCTTACAGAAGTTCAGAAGTTCAGACTATGGAGCACCTGCTAGTTTGCTGACTCCTTGGTGAGACCTGTATCAAAGACAACTTTGCAGCAATGACAGAGAGTGCCATTGCTTGAGCATGATTTGGTGGGGAAAATCTAGTTTATGACAAGGACACAAGAAGAAGAAGAAGAAGAACAGAAATCCAAGTCCAGGACACTGACTTGGAGGGTGGCACAGAGCAGCTGCAGCTGGGGACAGTCCAGAAAGGTGTGGAAAAGTGTCTCTTCCAGCTCCTCCTTGCAGAAAGGACAGGCTGCTAACATCTTGGGGTCTAAATGGTGGACAAAGCTGCCAGTGTTCATAGCCCATTCAGCAATTGCCACAGGATTAGTAAAGTTGCCTGCATTTTTACTAAATACCTAAAAAATGACACATCAGAGTTAAATTGATGAGCAGATCCCCAACCGTGCAGGACGTATCTAATTTCTGCATCTTTGAAACCTCCTTGATGGTTTTGCATTATCAATCACGCCCGTTGTATGGCCCCAGATGGCATTATCGTGAAGATCATCTTTCTTTTCCCCTCCTTCTGCTTTGAGCGTACAGTAAATATTTTATACCAATTGACCAAAAGTAAGTTTAATATTTTTTGCCACCACTGGAACATGGAGGGGAGCTTTATTAAGTATTCAATTAGTCAAATGTTCGCTTCATCAATATGCATTTGTCACTAGGGGCGTTCACTAAACCAGACCAAAAACACCACGAAGACGCTAATTGCCTAGGGCCTCTTTCAGCCTTGAAGTACTTTTTTTTTTTAAATTCCCCCATAGGAAGCTTAGAGAAGATATTAGATAAATTGGTTAATTAAAACATAATTCCCAGATACATGGGAATGGATAGTCGGGCTTGCTCTGTTACTTCTGCTCGTTGAATTAATAAATCACTAAAATGATATAATTGTTTTCCTCGGCATGCGTGGAGGTGAAATGATCTTTCTTTAAGCTGATTTATAGAGAAAGATGAAGTGGAAAGACTAATGTTGCTCAACCTATAGCAGTCTCTGGGACCTCAGCTGCGGAGGCACTTGGCTGGAAGAGTCTCTGAATCCCGGCTGACCTTGTACATGGGGATAATCAATGGTGATGGCATTTAGGTTGCAGTTACTAAATATCTTTCTAATTTCACCAGTGACACAACAAGCATGAATTGGGTTCCTCCCAATTTGCTTCTTGTAATGCGTTTCCTTCATATCCCACATGTATCCACCCTCTCCAACTTGTCATCAGACCAGAATCAGGCTGCTTCCTTGACTTTTTTCCACAGGAATACTGAGCATTTATATATGCATTTATGGGGCACTTCAGATATTTAATTAACTGACATAGACCCAAAGCAATTGCCCTGGGGAACAAAGGGATGAGCATAAATTATCATCAGTTTTTTATGAACAAGGGAAACTGAGGGAGAAAGGTGAAGCAATGTTTTTAACGCTTTCTTGTAAATACATGACAAAGGTAGGGAGGGCTTGGCAATGGTTTTTTCCAGTGAATGAGAAAATTTAGGTTGAAGTGAACAAAATTCAAGGGGGGTGGGGAGAGGAAAGAAAATGCTTCCTTTCTACATTTTGTAAACTAAACGTTTTCTACATTTTCATTTTAAATTCAACCAAAACAGATTCATAGACATTAGGGCTGGGGGGGACCTTGAAGATCA